ACAACAAATCTAAAAAAAAAACAAAATTAAGATGCTACGTGAATGATGAAAATATCAATTATTTAAATTAAATTAAATTAAATGACTTAATTAGACAACCTCTAAAAAGTTTATATACGATTGTCACGTGATGCTAAAAACAATTATAATAACACTTATTTACAATTAGTAATATAAGAGTTAAACCTTAAGAGGTTGGTCTGGTGGTCAAAAAAGTTTACTTTTTTCTTTGAGTTTTTAGGTTTAAATATTTGGATCATTTATCACTATAATATTGTAGTTTATCTGGTCTTTTGAACTTATATGGTGTTCAATAGATCTCGGAGATTAGTTAGGGTGCACGCAAATTAGCTTGAACATCCCGATTACCAATAATAATAATAATAATAAAGAGTCAAAGACATAAACCCTCTGCGACATGATGTAACAAAATTAGGTTTTTGAAATAATAGTGAATCATTAAAATTTATACTCTTATGAGTTATTAGTAAAAATTACTAAATTATTTTACTATCATTTATTCTAACACCTAAAACTTAACAATAGGGGGATTTCTATTATTTTAGATACCTTAGGGTGAATTTTGTTATTTTATTGTACCTTAGAGAATTTTTTGTCATTTAACTTTAATAATAACAACAACGTTAAATTTTTATACAACAAAAAATGAAAAAGAATTAAGATGAGTTATACATAGATGTTCTACATATCATTGTTATCCCATTAAATTAATATTTAATAGAATATTCAATTATTTATTTATTTTTCTTAAAGAAAAATATTGAAATTTGAGTTATTGTGTTGGAAATACTTGGTAGTAACATATTGTTTGTGTTTTATTATTGCAATAGTATACGAGAAGAGGGAGAACAAATTGTATAATGAGATTTATGTGGAAATCAATGCCTCCTTAGGCCCGTCCATGTTATCAATGTTTTAATTGTAATTAATGGTTGAGATTGTTGAAATTTTTTTAAATATTAAAGTTATTTTTGTATTTATATGTTTAATTAAAATAATTAAATTATTTTTAAAATAAAAGGACCTTTAAAAAACAAAACATTAAACAGATCTTTTTTGTGAAAAAAAATATTCTCAAATGTATTGTTTATATAGAGTTTTAGATGTCACTTAACACATGGGTTAAATTCATTTTGTACACCACATTTTTAAACGGAGTGTTCAGGCTAACTTACACGTACCTAAACTAATCTCTTCAGGATCCTAAAACTACCAGTCGGATAAGAGCTCCAGTGACTATCCTTATTAACAACTGAAAAAGGACTCAAACTCAAAACCTCTTGAGTAATACATTTAAAAGTCTCTATCGAATCACTCGATCACTTAAAGGTAGTTAAAAATATTAATTCCTTAGTGCCTTTTATTTTTTCGAAATTAATAATTTATCAAATATTTTTTAACATAATTTTAATTTTCAAATTGTCAAATATGTTTTGATGATTTCTTCTATTGTTTCTATCTATTTCTTATTTTGTTTTTCTCAATACAAATTAAACAACTTATAATGATATAAATTCAATTTAATATGTAGGTATTTTTCTTTTTATATATATTTTGTGTGTATATACTATACTACATAACCCTCCCATGGTTACTTAGATTTTAGCGTACATTTTGGTAAACATTGTATGTTTTTTTTTTTTTTTTTTTGTATAGTTCATTTTCAAAAGTATCTAATCATTTCTTTGGAGAAATACTTACCAGGTTGATTTTTATAAATGCTTTTCAAATTGATAACACGTTTTGATTGATTTTATTATAATGTTATAAAATAGAACAAAAATATCATGTTGATCACTCAAAAAAAATTGAAAATCAAATACATAATTTACATCTGTCTTCATTGGTCAATTCTGAGTTGACCTCAATACGTAAATGTTTATAATAAATTTTCGGCCAACCAATTACTACCCAACAACAAGATCCACCAAAATTTTCATCCTTAATCTCAGCCATTAATAAAATCCCAAGTGTTTTATTTTTCTGTTTATTCTATTTAAGAAAAACTATCAACGTATATAATTTTAACAGGCCTTTTCAAAAGTTACTTTCATTTAAAAAAGAGTATTTATTTAATGGTTCTCCCATAAAAACACTCCGAATACTTTTCAAGATATCTGATTTTAAAAGAGTTAACACCAAATACTTTTCAGGATATCTGATTTTACAAGAGTTAACGACTTTTTCCACCCAAATAATAGTTTAGCGATACTTTTCCACCTATAAATTTTTAAAATATCACTTTATTATCTAAATTTATATTATAACTACAAACAGAGAGTAAATTAGGTCCAGACTATTGGGACTTTTGAAGATAGAAGGTCGATAAGTCTTTTGGTAATTGAATGTTAGATTTGGTGGTTGAAATTGATATGAATTTGACTTAGGAGGGGTGGTTATGCAAACCCTAATCGCTTGATTGTCGGTGATTAACAGGGTCGGCGAGAATAGTATTTTAGGTGCTTTGGTGAGTGATGATCGGCGAACAGAATGGTGATGGTGTGGGGTTACAACGATGCTGGAATAAAAAAATAAAATATAAACTTGGATAACAAAATAATATTTTAAAAACCCGTGGATAAAAAAGTGTTATTAAACTATTATTTTGATAGAAAAAAAATCGTCTACTCGATTATACAAACACCATTAAAGTATAAATTTTCTCACCCTGATAGATAGATAATTAAATCTCGAACACCTCAACGATTCTCAAGTAATATTAAAAATCCTATATTTAAAGGTTATATATATCACAATAGGGCTTTTTATTTTTAGGGACCTTTTATAATTATTAACCTACAAAGACGGTTAAAAAGCAGAAAATAATATAGACTTGGTCAGATAGGCGAGGTCCCTGTTTTCCCATTTGTGCACGCCTGAAGTAAAGTCCAAGGGTGAGATCAATTTTGGTTCCCAATTAAGAAATTGGACGGAAGACTTAAGACTGGATCATCAACTTCAACACACACAAATCACAATTCAAATAAAAAAGCAAGGAGAAGGAGTTTCAGGTATAGGTTTGGATTTAGGCAGGGAGTTGTTAGTTAATTAGTTGGGGATTTGTTGGTTAAAAGTTTTTTCCAACACAAAGTTTATCATTTCTTCTTTTTTTTTTTTTTTCTTAGAAGTTGCCCTTACACAATTTGTTTACGCAATCTCCCACCACCCCATTACCCCACCACCACCATCATCTCTCTCACTCTTTCCATTTTTCCACCTTAATTACGACTTTACTCTTAATCAATTATCACTAAAAATGTGATTTAAGTTCCCCCAAAAACAATAGCAAACAAGAAAAATAATTCTAAGGAGATTGCATAACTACTTGCTGATTTTTTTATGATTTTATTAGCACATAAAATAATAAACGTTTTGACGATAATACTCAAATAACATCACTTGAAAGCTGAAGACAACAAAAGTATGGTTAGGTAATTATTTTTCTAAACCAACTTTAAAGACCTGACAATAAACTNAATCTCGAACACCTCAACGATTCTCAAGTAATATTAAAAATCCTATATTTAAAGGTTATATATATCACAATAGGGCTTTTTATTTTTAGGGACCTTTTATAATTATTAACCTACAAAGACGGTTAAAAAGCAGAAAATAATATAGACTTGGTCAGATAGGCGAGGTCCCTGTTTTCCCATTTGTGCACGCCTGAAGTAAAGTCCAAGGGTGAGATCAATTTTGGTTCCCAATTAAGAAATTGGACGGAAGACTTAAGACTGGATCATCAACTTCAACACACACAAATCACAATTCAAATAAAAAAGCAAGGAGAAGGAGTTTCAGGTATAGGTTTGGATTTAGGCAGGGAGTTGTTAGTTAATTAGTTGGGGATTTGTTGGTTAAAAGTTTTTTCCAACACAAAGTTTATCATTTCTTCTTTTTTTTTTTTTTTCTTAGAAGTTGCCCTTACACAATTTGTTTACGCAATCTCCCACCACCCCATTACCCCACCACCACCATCATCTCTCTCACTCTTTCCATTTTTCCACCTTAATTACGACTTTACTCTTAATCAATTATCACTAAAAATGTGATTTAAGTTCCCCCAAAAACAATAGCAAACAAGAAAAATAATTCTAAGGAGATTGCATAACTACTTGCTGATTTTTTTATGATTTTATTAGCACATAAAATAATAAACGTTTTGACGATAATACTCAAATAACATCACTTGAAAGCTGAATACAACAAAAGTATGGTTAGGTAATTATTTTTCTAAACCAACTTTAAAGACCTGACAATAAACTAGATAGTTTTTTAATTTAAAATAACCGCCACTAGGTGGTTTAACAGTTAATTAAGACTCTAAGGTGTATTACTCAAATAGGTCGTGAGTTCTACCCACCTAAATTATTAATAGAGATGACTACTGAGGGGATTTACTCGACTATCAACTTCAGAGCACCGAGAGATTAGTTAGAGCTTTGAATGTGTGTATAAACTGACCCAAACACCTACTGTCACCAAAATAAAAAAATAAAAAATAAAAACTTTAAAGACTTGTAATGTAACAACCATATTCCAACTAACCCTTTTTATTAATTGAAGATCAAAGTCAGATGTTTTCTCATCCTTGATAGATATCTCTTAACCAAAACGCAACAACACTTATAATAGCCACTATAATTTAATTCTTTTGAAAATTATTCCCTTGATACTATGAAAAAAATATAAAAAAATTATCAGTTATATAGTATGACGAAACGTTAACAGTCCACCACAACTATAAAATAGCCACGCGTGTCATAATATTTGAGCTAATGAGAAAATTAATAATTTAAAACGTAATCTTTCATTAAAAAATTGAATATTATTTATTAATTAAATAAGGAAGAATAAAAGTAGTTTTGTGTAATTTGGTAATGGTAGAAGGTCAAAGTTGATTAATGTTTAGTTTAGCGTTAGCCAAAATACACGTCGCCAAGCGTTGAACGGTTGAACCCAACCTCAATTTCCTCCTCTCAACTCTCTTTTTAATATTCATACAGTATATATACACACATCCATCTCTCCTTTCTTTTCTTATACGGCTCCATATTTTTTCTTCTGTTTCATCTCATCAACTCGAATTTCTCTTTTGTTCATGGCTTCTGCCTTCAACAGAGCGTCAGTAACCATTACTGATGCCGCCTCTTGGTACTGTGCCATTGTGTTGTTGGCTTTAATATTACTGGGCTCAATTAGGGAGAACAATTCTCTCTCAGATGAGTCTCAAGTGAGAGGCAACCAGTTTTTTGACAGACCGTGTGATGAAATCTACGTGGTGGGTGAAGGCGAGACGCTCCATACCATCAGCGACAAGTGTGGCGACCCGTATATAGTTGAGCGTAACCCGCATATCCATGACCCGGATGATGTCTTTCCAGGTCTTGTCATCAAAATTACTCCTTCAAAACCGAGAAAGTTGAGTTAGCTGGTTGAGGAGAAAGCAAAGCTCGGTTAATCTTCTTTCCAGCTTGTATCGTATATATTCTTATACGAGTATATGATTCCTGATAGAATTAATACTTTTTTTTATGTTTTGCTTTTTTATCATCCTTTCTTGTAGTTTTGTTCTGCGAATTTGTCTGTGTAATAGGAGAAGAATTAATACAGGGATGTAAAAGCTGGTCTAGGGAGAGGTTTAGTTTTGATTCGGCTTGGTATCACAGAGAGAATAAAATTTCTCAATAAAAGTCTTTGTATATATTTCTACATAATTAAGTCTTTGTATATATTTCTACATAATTAATCAATCTTCTTCAGTTCTTAAACAATCCCAGAGATTCTTTAAGGTATGCAGATCATTTTCTTTTTCCAGATATTGCTAAACTTTATGTCAAATTTCTGCAGTTTGAAAAATCTCAAATGTTTTGTATTTTGGCTGTTTAATGTTTTTATCTTTTAAACTGTTAGCCAAAATCAAGCAAAGCTTGATTCAAGCCATTGATCAAGCTTTGCTTGGTTTTGGCTAAACATAAACAAGATGACGATGGGTTGTGCTTACGAGTTATACAGAGCCGAAAGATGAATTTTTTTAAGAGTTAAAAAGTAAGTTATGCGCCGAATTGACAAATAAATTAGAGTTTGGGTTGCTGGTGGGAGAGAAAAGGAGCCATTAGATTTTTGACTCTTAATTTTCCAAACGTGTCTTCTTTTCACTGGACTCATTTTGACACGTTTAACAACTCCGATTTAAAAAAATCTAACTTTTTTCTTTTTTATTTATTCAAAAGGATCGAAATCCTCGAGGTTTCTATGGTTTTTAAGTTACAAAATAAATAATAATAAATGATTTAATAACCCCTTTATAAATTATAATTTTGATTAAGAGAGATATAATAAAATATATGAACTCGTGAGTTGAGCCTTGAAGTGAGTATTAAAAATTGATTTATGGAATGGAATAATTCACAAAATAAAAAGTAATTCCCATAAGATGATGTAGATTAAAAGAGATAATGGAATCTGATTAACAATAATTGATGATGACTCAGAGAAAAATAGCGACTCAAAGAAAAATAAAAAAGTTTCTTATAATTAATTGCACAGAAAATCGAATTTAAAACGGAATTTTGAAAATTAGGATCAATTATTATAAACTGATTAATGGGATGTTGTATACATACTAGTTAGCACTAACCCATATAAAATTAATTCTAGGTAATTGTTGTGGCCTAACTACTTTTGGGTGGTTAGGTAGTTCAACAAATGTCCTAAATTTGAGTCAATTCTCAATTGCTAATAGAGGTAGTCATTGGAGTTTTTATCCGACCGGTAATTCTAAGATCCGAGGGAATTAGTTGAGGTGGATGAAAGTTGACCCGAACACTACCAGTAAAAAAAAAATTTTTGATATACTTGAAGATCAAGGAATAATGTTATGCTTACAATTGAATCATACAATCAGGTATATAACCAAACAATTTTTTTATAAAACTCATGTAAAATGATTACTCAATCTTATATTTTTTGTCTGTTCGTATATGTGACATGTTTGTTTTCTTTCGACAAGTTTAATACATTACATGGAGTGTGAAAAGCAATGGGTTTTAAAACAGTTTATTGTCTCCTAATTAACTGTTTATCAAGAGTTAATTTGATAAACAGGTAAGACCTAACAATAATATTTGAACTCTAGTATCTGGACTCTTCTGCCTCTTATCAAATGTCAATTCGACCATCTAACTACCTTTGTATCATGGATGTCTTTTTATTTTTTTATTTTCCTAAGAATTTTCAATAATATTTGTACCATTCAATAAACTCAAAAATAAAATTATAATATAAAGAGTATTACGTTCCCGTGAGTGTATTGGATGAAGCATCATATCATATATATATATATAGTGGCATTGGTATTATCGGCAGATCTTTGTCTCCAATGTGTAATTAGGTAGCAGTCCAAATAATTTGAATGGAGCATATCATCATCATCATCAACATCAACACATGCTTAGTATTTCACACTTGCGATAAAGTCGAATGTGACATTTTTGGGTTGGCACCACACCCCACTATTGTCTGCAAAATTAAATCAATCAGTTTTTATTTGGTTTAAGAAATTATTGATTTGAACAAGGAATTGCAGTATCGTTGTGATCTCTCACTTGGGATGGGACTTGGGCAAGTTGCACAAGTAATATGTAATTATGTTGTTTTGAGTCTTGGCTAGAGAAAATCAACAATATGATGAGATTTATAACTAATTAAAGAGAGTACAGCGAAATTGTGTTTGATTGGGGAAGATAATCAAAATAAACAACTATGGAGGTTGGAGACCCTATATATCCATAAACCAATCAGAATTATTGGACTGATCTTATGTGTAGAATATTGTTTTATTAATGGATCTGGTATAATTCATAAGCGACAAGTTTTTATAATTAAAGGTTAAGTATTACATAGGGATAATTATAGAAAACCTCGTGTGGATCACCTAATGACATCAAGCTCACACTCCAGGGCAGGCCCCCGAATAAAAGAAAAACCGTAGAATGCGAAATGACAACCTCACATTTATTCGAGAGTAATGTTAAATCTATAACTCAATCTCATAATTTTATCTCACAATTCTTAATGTGACAGCTCGTCATTAGTTACTATCAAATGAACAAGCGGGACCTATATAAGTAGACGGGACTTATTTTATAAATTGACTAACAATGAGCTATCACGTCGGGGATTGTAAGAGAAGATTGTAAGATTGAGTTGAGGACCTGACATTACTTATTATTCAAACTATCGTAAATTTCAAAAGGGATAATTATTAAAACCCCCTTGTTGATCGCCTAATCACAGCAAGCCTCCACACATATGGAAAATGTGACTCTAATCCCATTCTGTTAAAATTTCAAATTTCAAACACCCCCAAAAAGAAAATTCCAAAACAAAACCACCATTAGGTGACCTGATGATAAAAGAGTAAAATGAAATTTCATGAGCTCTTAAGTTCGAGTCCTCCAAACACTAATAGGGGTAACTACTAGGGCTCTTATTAAGAAAAAAAAATATGAGGGGAAAAGAGAAGATTCACTTAGGGTTTTTTTTATTAAGAAGTTAAACATCAAAATTGCCTACTTTATAAATGAAAAAACAATAAAGATTAGTTCACAACCCAATCTCACAAACTCTCTTTCACAATCCCGACTTGACAGCTTGCAATTTGTCAGATGGAAAAATTTATCACAAACCAATTGTAAACTGTCATGTCGAGATTGCAAGAGAAAGTTTAGAGATTGGATTGTAAGTGTACTATTGCTCAATTAAAAATATCCAAAATAATTTTATCTCAGTTAATTTTAACGGATAAGAGTAACGGAATGGGAGCTAGGGGTGCATATCCCATATGTCAGGGGGGTTTCTGTTATTAGGCCATCAACATGCGTTTTTCTGTCATTGCTCCTATTAAATATACATTTATTCTATTATATTGTGTAAGAACAGAGTTAATTAAGGTTAAGAGATAACATTTATTATTATCAATTCAACAGTTACGTAAATATAAAAATTGGAGTGAAAATGATGAATGATTCTTAATTTTTCTTCCTTCAAGAGTCTGTACTTAAACTTGATCCATTATATATGAATCATCAAATTATGTGCGTAGAGAAAATGTTTTTATATATCTAAATAGAAAATAGAGTTACATGAAAATTAAACAAATTCTAAAAATAAAAATCGCGGAATAATTTCCGGACGGTTTCCTAACACCACCTGTGACTTTATTACTATTATGTACCTTTTTTCTCATATTAAATTTCCGTCATTAAAGCAGCAATAACGTGTATAGAGTCCAATCAGTCAAGTTAAATACGTTTTACATAAGAAAAGAATTTAACATCTCCACTAATTTAAAAAATATTATCATTAATTAATTACAGTGTCNATGAGGGGAAAAGAGAAGATTCACTTAGGGTTTTTTTTATTAAGAAGTTAAACATCAAAATTGCCTACTTTATAAATGAAAAAACAATAAAGATTAGTTCACAACCCAATCTCACAAACTCTCTTTCACAATCCCGACTTGACAGCTTGCAATTTGTCAGATGGGAAAATTTATCACAAACCAATTGTAAACTGTCATGTCGAGATTGCAAGAGAAAGTTTAGAGATTGGATTATAAGTGTACTATTGCTCAATTAAAAATATCCAAAATAATTTTATCTCAGTTAATTTTAACGGATAAGAGTAACGGAATGGGAGCTAGGGGTGCATATCCCATATGTCAGGGGGGTTTCTGTTATTAGGCCATCAACATGCGTTTTTCTGTAATTACTCCTATTAAATATACATTTATTCTATTATATTGTGTAAGAATAGAGTTAATTAAGGTTAAGAGATAACATTTATTATTATTAATTCAACAGTTATGTAAATATAAATATTGGAGTGAAAATGATGAATGATTCTTAATTTTTCTTCCTTCAAGAGTCTCTAATTAAACTTGATCCATTATATATGAACCATCAAATTATGTGCGTAGAGAAAATGTTTTTATATATCTAAACAGAAAATAGAGTTGCATGAAAATTAAACAAATTCTAAAAATAAAAATCGTTGAATAATTTCCGGGCGGGTTCCTAACACCACCTGTGACTTTATTACTATTATGTACTTTTTTTCTCATATTAAATTTCCGTCATTAAAGCAGCAATAACGTGTATAGAGTCCAATCAGTCAAGTTAAATACGTTTTACATAAGAAAAGAATTTAACATCTCCACTAATTTAAAAAATATTATCATTAATTAATTACAGTATCTAGAAAAAAAAAAATCTTGTTAAGACTCCTCACATATCCCACCAAGTGTCCACTGGAAAACTTAAAAAACTTGTTTAAGGCCTCAAGGGGTTCTGAAGAATCTTCCGACCAAGAAATTTCTTCGTTTTATTGGAAGATAATTAAGATAAAAAAAAGTCAAAAAGTAATGACTCATGACCTGATCTTTACATATAGATTACGTATACAATAAAGGTGAGTTTTCGAAGATTTGATTCATCAACTACCTCTTGAATACTGAGTTCGAATCCTTTCTCACTTAGAGATATTCGTTGGATCTCTTAATCGACTAATAGTTTCAAAATCCCGAAGATTAATTAAGGTACGTGTAAACTGTTTAAACACCCCGATGATTAAAATAAATAAATAAAAAAGGTTTGATTTATCATTAAAATCCCTTAGCATGGCTTTAGAATTTGGAGTTCACTTGCAAATGAATGATAAGTAACAAGTGGACTAATCTTAATTTAGATGCCTTCCAAGTTAATTAAATACTTGTGTTTATAGTATGAGAAGTTAAAATAAGATATCAGAAGTAAACCCATTTAAAGTGTATTTGAACTAATGTTATTCAACTAAGATTCCCAAGGTAGTTCATCTACTTCATGAAAATATAATATAAACTTCTCTTCGCATTCAATGAATCAATCTCAAAGTGGTTGGTCATTCTTATCTCTTTGGTCTCCTAGAAGTCGAAAAATACAAGATACATATATATTAATGTTTCTAATGAAAACAACTATTCGCATATACCTTTTTTTTATTTTTTTATTTGTAACCGAAGTGGCGAAGTGTTTAGGCCAACCAACGTGCGCATACCTTAATTAATCTTCTAGGTCCAATGAATATCCTACAAACCTAAAAGATCAGGTAAACTACAATGTTATTGTGATAGATTAAAACTCATGAACTTAAGGAAGGGATCAAACCTCCTTGACCGCCCGACCAAACCTTTCGGGTCTATTGCATATACTTTTGATCACTTTTTGTAGAAATAACTGTAATTTTTGAGAGATTAAAACTTCAAATAATTTTTCATCTTATTAAAAAAATCATGTTATTAGTTTCATTCATAAGAAAGTACCTTTTTTACCAATGAAAATAGTAATTAATCTATACATTTGATGATTTATTTTACATGATACAATATGAGAATCTGAGTAAAATCAAAAGCTTGAAATAAACTACTTCTAAAGGTCTTGAGTTCGAGTCTCTCCTCGATTGTTAATAGGGGTAGTCACTAGAACTCTTATTTAGTCGATAGTTTTAGGGTCCTGAGAATTAGTTGAAGTGCGTGTAAGCTGGTTTGAACACTCTTGGTCTAAAAAAAAAAAAAAAAAAAGGCTCAAAATATATAATACATGTTTAGTTTAGTTAAAAAATGTTTATAACATTCCTGAGGCCCAGCCCACTAAAGATATCATGGCCCGCTCTAACAATTTTACACAGCCTTTGCAGCTTTGCTAATAAGTGCAAAAAGATTGGTCAAGCTTGACCTTAGGTTTTCACAATATACAAGAAAATCAAAAAAGAAAGAAAGAAAGAGATAGTGGCAGAGTGGGTGAGTTGGTTTTGACTAGCTCTTAATCAAGAAGACAATTTAAGAGTAAGATCACGTAAATTGCAGCCAAATAAAGCTATATTAATCAGGGAATTTTTGCATAATGTCATCAATGTTTTTGCCTATAAATAAACTCTTCATGTTCATAAAAAATGGAGCGCCTGTCTAGCATTATTTGCACGTTGATTAGTTTTGGTAAGTATATAGGTGAAAGATTAAAGGGGAAGAAGTTCTGGTAATTAAAGCCACACATTATGTATTTAATTAACAAGGTTTAAGAATTACTATTGAATCTTTATATGAAGTGGGGGTTCAAATTAATGGCGTTGAACTAGATTTAAATTATCTTTCTCATAAAACAAAGTGGGGATCTTTGCACCAAAAGAATTTTACACCGTATACACCGCTGAGAGTTGGCCAATATTTAAAGACTAGTAGTTTCTTCTGTAAAGCACACCAAGATAGCAGAATTGCTTAAGTTTTTACAAGTCAAGTTATGGGTTTGCAATGGCGGAGATTTTTTCCTTTTGCTCTTCTAGCCTTTTTCATTTTCCATGGCTTCTGTTACTCAGAGAAAGGTCTACAAACAATTTGTTTTTACTTCTTATTTGTTCATATTTAAAGCTTTACGTATATAATCAGGTTTAATCTCTCTCTAATTTACAGCTCCATACAACACATTTGTCAAAGAAGCAACTTCAGCTCCGCCAATTTCATATTACGACTACATAATAGTCGGTGGAGGAACCGCAGGCTGTCCCTTAGCTGCAACTCTGTCAGAAGACGCAGTCGTTTTAGTACTGGAAAGAGGAGGCTCACCATATACAAACCCTAACGACCTAGGCAACTTCGCCACCACTCTCTCGGACACTTCTCCCACGTCACCTTCCCAACAGTTTATCTCCGAAGACGGAGTGTTCAATGCCCGTGCCCGTGTTCTCGGCGGCGGGAGCGTCCTCAACGCAGGATTTTACACTCGAGCTGGTGAAAATTACACCAAAGAAGCTTGTTGGAGTGAAGATTTGGTGAAACATTCTTATGAATGGGTGGAGAAGAAGGTGGCGTTTGAACCACCAATGTTGCAATGGCAATCCGCAGTGAGAGATGGATTGATTGAAGTTGGAGTGTTGCCATATAATGGATTTACGTATGATCATATATATGGGACGAAGGTCGGCGGGACTATTTTTGATAGCGACGGCCATAGACACACGGCTGCCGATTTGCTAGAGTACGCTGATCCTCAGAAAATTACTGTTTATTTGCATGCCACCGTGCAGAAAATTTTGTTTACAACAAATGGTAAATTATATTTCGTTCTTGTAATCATGCTTGCACTATATAATTAATCAGCTGTGAAATGTTGCTTATGTTCTTCCGTTTTGATTGATGAAGAGAGGCCGAGGCCAAAAGCTCATTGTGTGATATTTGAAGATGCGTCAGGAGGGACTCACAGAGCCTGCTTAATCAAAAGTTCCGTTAAGAGTGAGATAATTTTATCGGCTGGTGCAATTGGAAGTCCACAGTTGTTGATGCTGAGTGGTATTGGACCTGCCAATCAACTACAGACACATGGCATCGACGTGGTGGTGGAGCAACCTTTGGTGGGCCAAGGGATGTCTGATAATCCAATGAACGCACTCTTCATCCCTTCTCCTCAGCCAGTTGAGGTCTCGCTCATTCAAGTTGTGGGCATTACAAGGTTTGATAGCTACATTGAATCAGCCAGTGGACTGAGCTTTGCGTATTCTTGGGCCCAAAGGCTTTCTGCATACTATGGATGGTTCACGAATCAGGTTTTTGTTCTTCCTCACAATCTCTAATTTTTAGTCTAAAAGGCTCGGACCATATTTTGGTCTCAGGAATTTGGTCTGCTCTTGGGCCTTGGCCCATTGAAACCTATCAAATGCAAATTAAATCATGGGCCCATGGCCCATATAATACCATAAGAAATTATATTCTTTTTTTTTTAAGACTTAAAATTCTTTTTGAAAATAATTGTATGAGAATAAGAATAATTAAAAGTTAAAAAAAAAAAGGATTTTATTTTATATTTATTAAGAAATTGATAAATAAAACTTGTTTTAGGAAAAGTATTTGAAAATAATACATATCAAGCCTAATACATGATTTTTTTTTTTTTTTTTTAAATTTACATATATGCAGAGTGGACGACAGCCGTCCATGGTGACCCCAGAAGCAATGGTTAGTGCTCTTGAAACCGTGCAATCATACATAAATTCCAATGGAACAGTAAGAGCTGGAGTTATTCTTGAGAAAATTATGGGTCCAATCTCCACAGGCCATCTTGATCTCCTGACCACCAATGCAAACGATAACCCTTCTGTCACTTTCAACTATTTCCAGGATCCTCAAGACTTAAAGAGATGCGTCCAAGGCATGCAAACCATTATCGAAGTTGTAAATTCCAAAGCCCTGTCCAAGTTTCGTTACAGTGACATGCCGGTTCAAGGACTCATAAACTTGATGGTGAACGTCCCCACGAACCTGAGACCAAGGCACGTCAGCGCTTCAATTTCCCTGGAACAATTTTGCACAGACACTGTGATGACAATATGGCATTATCATGGAGGGTGCCAAGTTGGAAGAGTCGTTGATAATGATTATAAAGTTGTTGGCGTGGACGCTTTGAGGGTCGTTGATGGATCTACTTTTTTAAACTCTCCTGGAACTAATCCTCAAGCCACCGTTATGATGCTTGGAAGGTAAAGTAATTAATGTAAAGATTGTTAATTTTGTGTGTAGAAGATGGATCTTTTTTAATGAATCTTGCGGTGCAGGTACGTGGGATTAAGGATTTTGCAGGAGAGAAAAAGACTGCCGGCTGGGAAGAAGTAGAAGATGATATGATTTTTTTTTTTTTTTGGTTGATTGTTATTTTAGGTATCGGTATGCGTTGTTTTAGGGTGTGTTTGGGATGATTTCTATTTATTTTATAATTTTTTACTTAAAAAAAAAATTGTGCTTGATAAAATTTCTCAAAAGTGATTATTACAAAACCTCGCCTATTTAAAAAGTGAGAGATTACTTTTTAATCAATTAGAACCTTTATTGAGGTAATGAAAATAATTAATAAACAATTTAAATTACCAATTTTATCTTTATTAATTGAATGAAAAATATTTATTAACACTCAGATATTAAATAAATATTTTTAAAATAAGTTTACAAGTAGGGGTGATTCGTGAGAGCATGGGTAAAAGGTAGAACCGAAATTGGCCCCTTTAGGGTCCGGTTCTAGTTCTGGAAAATTGGAATAGAAAATTTTTGGGTCCGGTTGCGGTTTCTATAATGTTGGAACTGGAAACCAGAATCAAGGTCTGGGTGCTTAATAGAAATTAGGATTGAATTGTAATTTATGTAAACTATTAGGGGTGTCTTGTAATTTTTTGAGGGTGTATTTGTTATTTGTAAAAAGTAGGGAGTAATTGGAATTAACCGGGTTTCAGTTCCTTCAAAAAATACCGGGTACCCAGAACTGATCACTTTTTGTTTTAACCGTTGATTATTCAGCACGATCAATTTGTGATTATTTTAAAAATCACAACAATACGAATTAGTCAAGCTAATTTATGATTATGGATACGACGGTAGTTTTCACAATGCTAAGAATTTGTTGAGATTTGGTTAAATTTGCATACAAGACTGAGCTGTCTTAGACTTTTGATAGCAAAAAAGACATAAAAATTCAAAGTGACAGTAATGAGAACCATTAATATTACTTCCAAAAAAGAAATTAAATGAAAAATTCCTCTACAACTATTACCTTAAACAAAAAGAAATGATTAACCCACCATTGACTGATCGAGTAGTTGAGTAGAGACTATTAAATATTATCGTAAGAGATTATGAGTTTAATTCATTTTAATTGCTAATATGAGTAGTCATTAGAGTCTAACGGTTTACTCGGTCATAAAAAAAAAAAAAAAAAAAAAGTTCCCATGAAATTGAAATGAAGGAGCGACAGGTATGAAAATTTAACTTACGGAGAAAGTCCTTGTTAAAAGGCTTTTATTTCGCCTTTTAAGAAAGAGAAAGAGGGTCAGCAATTAAATTCACTTTTTCTAAAGTAAATTAAAGTTGAATATCTGGTCATCATAATTTAGTACACGCTTGGTCCCATGTTCAATTTTTTGCCAAATGCACTTCTCAAAGTTTAAGGCACGACACTCAAAGNTGATTTCTATTTATTTTATAATTTTTTACTTAAAAAAAAAATTGTGCTTGATAAAATTTCTCAAAAGTGATTATTACAAAACCTCGCCTATTTAAAAAGTGAGAGATTACTTTTTAATCAATTAGAACCTTTATTGAGGTAATGAAAATAATTAATAAACAATTTAAATTACCGATTTTATCTTTATTAATTGAATGAAAAATATTTATTAACACTTGGATATTAAATAAATATTTTTAAAATAAGTTTATAAGTAGGGGTGATTGGTGAGCATGGGTAAAGGGTAGAACTAAAATCGGCCCCATTAGGGTCCGGTTCTAGTTTTGGAAAATTGGAATAGAAAATTTTTGGGTTCGGTTGCTGTTCCTATAGTGTTGGAACTAGGAACAAGAATTGAGGTCTAGGTGCCTAATAGAAATTGGGACTGAATTGTAATTTGTGTAAACTATTAGGGGTGTATTGAATTTTTTGGGGGTGGATTTGTCATTTGTAAAAAGTAGGGAGTAATTAGAATTAACCTGGTTTCGGTTCCTTAAAAAAATATCGAGTATCCAGAACCGACCACTTTTAATTATAAGTATTTTAGGTGTTCTCCATTTTAAAAGCACAATTTATTAAATACTTTTTGTTTTAACGTTGATTATTCAGCACGATCGATTAGGGATTATTTTAAAAATCACAACCATACTAATTAGTCACGCTAATTTATGATTATGGATACGAAAGTAGTTTTCACAATGCTACGACTTTGTTGAGATTTGGTTAAATTTGCATACAATACTGAGCTGTCTTAGACTTTTGATAGTAAAAAAGACATAAAAATTCAAAGTAACATTAATGAGAACCATTAATATTACTTCCAAAAAAGAAATTAAAAGAAAAACTCCTCTACAACTATTACCTCAAACAAAAAGAAATGATTAAACTACTTTACATGATCAAGTGATTAAATAAAGACTATTGAATATTACTAGGTTATAAGTTCAATTCATCTTAATTGATAATATAGGTGGCCATTAGAGTCTGGAGGTTTACTCGGTCAAAAAAAAAAAAAAGAATCCCATGAAATTGAAATGAAGGAGCGACAGGTATGAAAATTTAATTTACGGAGAAAGTCCTTGTTAAAAGGCTTTTATTTGGCCTTTTAAGAAAGAGAAAGAGGGTCAGCAATTAAATTCACTTTTTCTAAAGTAAATTAAAGTTGGATATCTAGTCATCATAATTTAGAACACGCTTGGTCCCATGTTCAATTTTTTTGCCAAATGCACTTCTCAAAGTTTAAGGCACGACACTCAAAGAAGAAAATTGTTCCTAAAGAATCATATTATAAAATAATTATTAAATTCACCCTTTTGCAAATTTAGAGTAATTATAGGTGAGGACATTTGTCATTTGGCAGCTAATCAATTGACTTTGTGAAGTGTAAACAATGGGTTTTGGAATTTTAAGACCAATTTGGAAAGCTTCAACATGAAGCAAATATGAAAGCATTCTAAAGAAGCTTTTTTTTTTTTTTTCGCCAAAATTCATAATCATAATGCTCTGACTCCGCCAATACAAAAGCGCTTTTGTTGTCCACTAGTGTTTGTTGATTTCCTCTCTCCGCCTTCTGTGTTTAAAAACAAGTGAGATATTACTATCAAAGAAAGACTATTACAACCACCTTTCTACAATTATAGCTTCAAGAGATTTTATACAGTACGTGCTTGATCACCATATCAGCAGAAATCTGTGCCATTGATTCTTCATCGCTGGGAAACGTGTAACACGAGGGTGAGGTTCATCAATCATGAAAGACAAGGTCAACTTAATGGCTTGACTTATTCGATGTGTTTACACAACGCATCCATCAGCTACTCAGTCTTGAAACCATTCAAGACAAAGTCATGGAAATAAATTGACAGAAACAACACGAAGAGGAAGGAGGAACATCCAATTAGAAAACAGTTAAAAGGGTAATGGGAGAAGTTCAAGGTAAACAGAACATGCAGTCACCTTGCCTGAATGAAGTCACTCAAGTATGCCCACATAGCTGTTGTCCATCTCCTTTCTTTAACTCGCCGGAGCCTCTGAACAAAGTCTCCAAGCCTAGAAGTATTTCTGCCGATTGTCGTCGAGACTTTGTTGCAACAACTACTTCTTCTATTTTCCCCAACACCCAATTCACCAATCATGAATCTCTCCCATCTCTGCAAAAATCTTTCTCTGATTTTTCCAAAGCTTATCCGCAGTATGCTGACACATATCAAATTGATCAAATAAGAGCCACAGAGTACTATCATCTCTCACTCTCCAACCATATTTGTCTTGATTACATTGGCATAGGCCTCTTCTCTTATTATCAGTTGCAGAACCAAGAGTCTTCTAAGTATCAAACTGCATCTTCTTCTTCCCCTTCCCCTTCCCCTTTACCGCAAGCTTCACCCGCTCAAATTTCGGATATTCCTTTCTTTAGTGTGTCCTACAAGACGGGGAATCTGAAGACGCAATTACTTCATGGGGGGGCTGAATCAGAACTGGAATCTGCAATGAAGAAAAAGATCATGAATTTTCTGAATATTTCTGAGAATGATTACAGCATGGTTTTCACTGCAAACAGAACATCAGCTTTCAAACTTTTAGCGGAATCTTATCCGTTCCAGTCTAGTCAGAAACTTCTAACAGTTTATGACTACGAGAGCGAGGCGGTGGAAGCCATGATAAATACTTCTGAGAAGAAGGGAGCAACAGTCATGTCAGCTGAGTTCTCATGGCCAAGACTGAGGATTCACACTGCAAAATTGAAAAAAATGTTAGTGAGTAAGAGCAAGAAGAAAAAGAAGAGGGGACTATTTGTGTTCCCTCTTCATTCTAGAGTGACAGGGGCAAGATATCCGTATCTGTGGATGAGGATCGCTCAGGAGAATGGTTGGCACATCTTGATCGATGCTTGCGCTTTGGGGCCAAAAGATATGGACAGTTTTGGCCTCTCCCTCCTTCGCCCGGACTTCCTCATTTGTTCCTTCTACAAGATTTTTGGGGAAAACCCATCTGGTTTTGGATGCCTATTTGTTAAAAAATCAACTGTTCCAATTCTGGAAGGTGAAACGAGTTCCGGAATGGTCAGTCTTCTACCGGCAAAACAGTTTTGTTTAATGGAAGAATCTTTGAGTGCCAAAACAGAACTTGAACAGACATCAAAGTTTAAGCAACAAGTGGATGAACTATCAGCATCAAACTCATTCTCAGGTCCAATATCCATTCAAACACTGGGGATTATAAAAGTGGAGCCAGAAGAAATTCCCAAGATTCAAAAGTCCGAAATTGTGGCAAAACCAAAAGGAAGTGAAGCTTCTGAAACTAAAGGAGATGAGATCATAGAAATTGAATGCAGGGGTTTGGATCAGGTGGACTCATTGGGGCTGACAAGGATTAGTAGAAGAGCAAGGTGTCTGATCAATTGGCTGGCGAATGCAATGTCAAAGCTCCTACATCCTAACACAGATGGGGTTGCCCTGGTTAAAATATATGGGCCAAAGATAAAATTTGATCGGGGACCTGCATTGGCATTCAATGTATTTGATTGGAAAGGGGAAAAGGTTGAACCTGTTCTTGTTCAAAAGCTTGCCGATCGAAAAAATATATCTCTTAGCTATGGATCATTGCATCACATATGTTTCTCGGACAAGTATCAAAGAGAGAAGGACAAAGTTCTTGATAAAAATGGCATGGCGGAAAGCAAGA